AGATGACAGCTGGCTCCGCCCAGCTGTCAGTAGCAGGCTTTTGGCCGGCCGTTCGGCCAGCTTCGGCTTTCACCTTGGCTCAGTCGAGCCGAGGCATATGCCTTCGGCTCGGCTGAGCCGCTCGGCCAACTTCAGGGGGCTGTACGGGCTATTGTAAATAGCCTGTACAGCAGCCCTTCGGTTCTACTGAACCGAAGGGGTCCTGGGGCCGAAGCTAGCCGTAGGATCGGCCGAAGCTACAGCTAGATCCTTGGTCTGCTTCGTGAATAGTCCCCAGTATGTAAAAATAGAAATATTTCACTTTCATATTTAACTTTCCTGTGTGACCATTCATCCTTCAGTTTACCATATACAGTTATGGCAATTGTTCAATGGGATTACAAGTTAGGACACCTGCTCTATGCAGAAAAAATACTCCTTAAAGCCTATTTAAAGCCAAAAACAAATATTTGATGTATTGTACTTTACTTTTTTCAAGCTTTTTTTTCTTTCTTTTCACCTTGTGATTCTGTCAGTAACACTCTTTATGTCCAAGGGTGACAATGCTCACTCGCTGTACTGTATCTATGGAGAGAAGCAGTGTTGTCTCCGTAGGACAGGACTACCAAAATCCCCCTCTCCTGTTCTTCATAGCATAGTTTTGCAGTCCATAGAGATTAGCTGGGAGCAATATAAGGGGTATTGCACCCTGACATAAGTACTCTTACCAATCTGCCCTGCAGTTAGTGGCAGGAGACAGCCTTTTTGGAGGAGCCGCTGTCAGCCAACGTTATCTGTCCCATTAGGCTTCCAGCTGCCTATATCACACGCAGCAACACCTGATGAGGTGCATAATAGCATTGATTTCAAAGAGGCCTTATGCTACGATGACATGACACACCACAGCGTTGCCTCACCCACTACCTGAGCAGTGCAGAGCCAACAAAAGTGCAAGGGGGTCATGTGACCTGTAGGGTAGAGAAAGCAAGAGACATGACTTATGTTTGGTTTTTTTGACACTATGCTGAGCATGCATAATGCGATGGCAACTCTGCAAAGGGTATATAGGCCTGCAGATTGTTGCCACCGCAGACGAGGAGGAAATTGCTGGCAAGATCAATAGGTATTTTTATCAAAGATAAAATTCTAAAAAGAAAAGGCACACATTGTTTGTGAAATATATTGTGAAGGCTTTATTATGATTTTTGTTTTTGGGTTTACTGACATTTTAAGGTAGCATATTAGAGTGGCCCGGGCTTTATGCATCTCGTATGGATAGTGAAAGGAATGTGTGGTCACCTGAGCATGCCTGCATTCTATTATGGCTTATGGATTCTAAGAAAGAAAAAAAACACCTTTTTTTGACTTCTTGTAAACACTAGAAACATTTATATATTTTCGATGTGAATGGCAAAATGCAAGCACTAATAAAATGCAAGTACACAGCCCTACCAGACACCCAGTTATGCAGACAATTAAGAATTTGTATGCCAAAGTTAGATCATTAAAAGAAAGGATGAAGGATTTAGTGCAGAATAACAGTTTTGGCAGTTAAATAGTACATTTCCATAGATATCTGTACATCAGACTAAAAAGAGAGGCTGATGAGGAAAGAGGGACAGAGGGACTTTGTTACAAATGAAGGACAGACCCTCAGCAGAAGCAGACCCTCTAAAGGAGGGAGCTATGGGAGGTACTGTATGAACAAAATAATAATAATAAAAAAATATATATATATATATAGTAGGGATGCACAGATATCGATACTAGTATTAGTATCGGTGCTGATACCGAGTATTTGGGCGAGAACATTTTGTCCTGTAAGTTGATGTGTTGGAAGCAAACAAAATGGGCAAGTGTAAGCATTTGAGCGACTTTGACAAGGGCCAAAGTGTCATGGCTAGATGCAGCTCCAAAAACTGCAGCTTTTGTGGCATGTTCCTGGTCTGCAGTGGTCTGGACTAGGGATCTACCGATAATCGGAGCCGAAATTCCCAGATTCTTTAATTATCAGTATCGGTTAAATGTACCAATATTGCCAATAATAAACACACAGTGAAATTTGCACAGTGGGTGCTACTGTCTGGCCAGCATTGCTCGATCAACTGATCAAAGGAGCCAGTCAGAAAATCTATGTAGGAACAGAGCCGGCAGCCTTAGAGCTGCCTGCTCTGTGCGGGTATTCTGACAGCAGCCGGCTGCCACCGCAATGCAAAAAGAACCCAGCAGATAGCAGGGGAAGCAATAGCTAGCCAGCTATTGACTATTTCAAATTGCAATCGCAGGCTGGCTATTGCACCCTCACCACTGCCTGCTGTCAATCAACAGAGGAGTAGACCTGAAGGAGAACTTTCTCCTTTTGATCCGCTGCTCTGCTGACAAAGTACTGGATTCAGTCTCACATCTTGCAAAGTTATGAACATTAATCATTTTAATGGGGTATGATAAGTCCGATATACAATAAAGAGCTGTGTAAGTTTCTGTGTGGCAAACAGATACCTCAAGGACCACTGACAGAACAACCGCTCAGACCATTCTGCATCTGACAATTGACCCAAATTAATTTCCCATCCTCTCCTGCAGAGTAACAAAAGACGTTTCCCATGTTAGAGTTGTAGGGTTTTGTATATATTGAATGTATGTCCAATTTTGTAGAGTCAGAGCTTGCAATGTGTGGCAAAAGCAGAGTATCTAAACATTTCCAAGAACATATCTAAGACTGGGCCGTTGCATGTCACAGTTGTAAATAGTGAATGCATCTGTCTTGGTATCCCAAATTTGTCTTCCAGGGATTGAAAAAAGTGCAGAGCTCCATTGTGGTATAAATCATGTATATGAGTATTACCACATCGATACAGTATTTCCAACCCCTCAAGTTTGCAAAGTATTGTGTGGTGTTTTTAGTGGGCTTATTAATACCAGATGCAGTTGTTGATAACTTGACCTGGTGCCAGAGCAAGGAGAGAAAATGTCAACTCTTAGCCTATTAAAGCCAAAATATACACAAATCCCGGTGTCTATAAGGTTTATTTATGTAGAAATGCATAAACTTATTACTGGCTAATTTGTTTTATTACCACATTATTTACATGAATATCAAACAAATAATGAGCATTCTTTGTGAGCAAATAGAACAAACAATTGCAGAACGTTTACTCTGTCAGCTGCTCTATATCAATGTGTACAGTGACTGATGCTTATTACGTTAATCGGGTACTATCTACCTTTCAGTGGCCTCCAGTGACAGTGAAAGTGACTCTGAATTAAGCACATCAAGTTTGGATGGCAAAACTTCAACATTAGAAGAACAAGCTAGAAACATAAGGATAGATTCTGGTAAGCTCTAAATGTGTATTAGTGCTTGGTATACAGTATATGAAATATTATGCATGATGTGTACATAACTCAGTACATTAATAGCATATTGTCATTGATGCGGTTATTACCATTGTAATTGTACAGTATTGTTTTAATATATCTACCGCCAAGATTAAATAACAGAAACATTAAATGATAGCATGCACAGTTTATCCAGCTCTTAATCCAGACATAATATAACCTTCTGTTCAGGATAGTCCTGGAGTACCTACATCCCACCAGAAAAAAATTAGTCAGGTCCACCTTCCTTAGTCAACCGGGTGCACTGCAGGTGCTGGTCAGGAGCTGTAGTAACACCTTACTCCATAGTAACACCTTACAAGGAAAAGACGCACACCACTCGTTCACCATGCAAGTAGTTTACTTCTTTCATCAGTCAGAATGATATAATCCCCACCTAGTAGCGGCCCACCTCTAACGCGTTAGACCCTTACTGGCTTAGTCATAGATGACATCTATACAACTAAGCCCATAAGGGTGAAACGTGTTAGTGGTGGACAGCTTCTAGGTGGGGATTATATCATTCTGACTGATGAAAGAAGTAAACTACTTGCATGGTGAACGGGCGGGGTGCGTCTTTTTCTTGTAATGTGTTACCATGGAGTAAGGTGTTACTACAGCTCCTGACCAGCACCTGCAGTGCACCCGGTTGACTAAGCTCAATGTGGTAGGGAGCAGTAAGATTCCTCTGAGTTCATACAGTCTGATTTGGACCTCATCAGACTGCTGGCTCTTCCAAATCAGCCCCATGGGCTCTTCCAAATCATCTGGTTCTTCTGTCCTAAGGACCATTTTACCACACTTCTCATGGCCGTTTGCCAAAACGTTCGCATCCCAGAAAACACTCCATGGCAAGACTCTAGCCTTTATCAATATTTAACCCTTGCTATCCTGTTCTAAAGAGCGTTTCCCTCTTATTCTTTGGTTAGTGCAGGGTGTTGCTCATATAGCCCCACCTGTATAACTATGAGTAACTCTGTGGAATCTGAATTTCATTCCATGGCTCTTGAAAAACTGCCTCCTGAACTCATAAAGGATATTCCCCTTTCCTCTCCTATGCACCAGGTTGTTTTTTCTTGTTACCATCACTTCTGCTAGTCATGTGTTTGAACTAGTTGCCTTTTCTTGGAAAGAATTATACCTGATCTTGCACAAGTACAAAGTTGTCTTGACGCCAAGAACCTCCTATCTTCCCAAGGTAGTTTCTGCTCTTCACTTCAATCAGGGCATTGTGCTTCCATCTCTCTCTCTCATTCCAGTTAAAGGAGAATTATGATTTTCACTGAACCTTATAATCTGAGCCAACCTGTGACAATGAAACTGTCACAGGTCGGCTCCGTAGATCGGAAAGTGAGTGAACACATACCGGCGCTCACTCACTTCTCTATCTATCCCTGCAGAGAGCCGTGACTGTCACTCTTGGTTCCCTGCAGGGATTCCCCACTCCCCTGTCCGATCCTCCAGCACTGACTCAGCGCTGACTGGCAGAACGGACAAGGGAGGGGGCGGGTACAGCTGGCTCTGCCTCTAGATAGGCAGAGCCAGCTGTCACTCACGCAGCTGGGTGGATCCAGACAGAATTGTCGGGATACGTTCCGGCTGTGGCGTCTCATTATACTGAGCTTTGGGTGACGGGAGGACGCTAGTTTGTGTCCTCCCATTACCCTTAGGAGAACTATGGAGAAAAGCCCTAACCCCATAGTTCTCATTTAAGCAAACTGAGATTTCCCTCCTTGGAATGTGGCTTGTGCTATGTATGTTTGCATTGCTGTCACTACTAGTATAAGCCTCTTTTTGTCACCCCTGAAGATCCCTGTAAAAAAGAACCAGCTTCTTGTTCCATCATTTCTAGGTGGCTCAGGTATTAAAAATAATTAAAGCCTACTGTCTTAAAACAAAGTTCCACCTTTTCCTGTCAAGACACATTCTGTAGGTCTGTAAGTGTTTCTTGGGTTTTTCTGCATCAGGCATCTGTTTCTCAGATTTGCAAGGTCAACACCTGGTCTTCTGTGCATATATTTAAGCTCTGCCAGGATGTTAAGGCCTTAGCTAATGCAAGCTTCAAGCATAGGGTCTTTTAGGCAGCTCTTGAAGCAGTTCTTACATTGTTGTTTGTTGACTTTTTATAGTGTTGTTGCTGTTTGCCTCCCTCAGTTGGATTGCTTTTGTCTCCGATTTACTTATAATCCTGTGTTCCTTAATGAATGAGACAGAAAACAGGATTTATGTTCTTACTGTAAACCCGTTTCATGAAGTTAATTAAGGAACATGAGTCCCACCACTCTCTTGTAAGTACAGTAGATTAGATCTACTAGTAATATTGCTTTTCTAAAAAACGAAAGCATGATGGGAGTGGGTAGGGTTTTACCTGACTGGCTAACAGCTATTTTCATTTGCCAGTGTCCAGTTCCTTCTGTAGGTGGCAGTAAGACCCAGTTGTCTATTAATTACTTCTCATCCTGTGTTTCTTAATTAATTAAAAAAAAAAAAAGATTTTATGGTGAGTTTGTATATGTTTTTTTTTAATAGTTTAATATTTTTTTTACCTATCTATATAAAGTCGGTACAAAAACAAATGAATATTAACTGCACCCTTGACACAGATTTGCAGAGTCTGAGTATTAAGCTTTTTGATTTCAGACTGTCTTTAATTGACTCTCTATATGGCCTTATATGTACAGAATGGGAGGGAGAAGGGTAGTCACCGACCTCACTTATTTAGCGAGTGTACATTTGAGCTATTGAGCTGTATGCAAAAACACTATAATAGGAAATCAGTTACAATTAGCCAGGTAAACAAGTGAAAAGCAACCTGTTGATAAGAAATGTAAAAATGAAACACACAACATGCAATATTTCATAAATGTCTAACAAAATATGCTTCAAATATTATATATATTTTAGTCATATGCCAAACAAAGAAAATGTATAAAGAAGGACTATACATTCCTTTCAATAATGAGAAGTTTATGGAAATTAACATGAATATTTGCTTCCTGTGTCGTGTATATTGCTTATATCATTGGCCCTGATTAATTACAAAGGTAGCATATATCTAATTTGTACATATAATCACAAATCGCAGCTGCTCCACATGCCATGCTATGCACATAGAAAAGCTTATCTACCTTGCTGCATGCAAGTGAAACCTTAACCACACTGATTACAAATTCTGTTTCTCATACCATGATACTATATGTAGCTTCTTTGCAATATGTTATTGTCAATGCAAAATTAAATCTCAATTATACTGATTACAATAATACACAGAGGGGAAACCCTGTTTCTGGATCAAAGAATATACACAGTATGTCATCAGAAGTAAGCACATACTGTATTTAATCAATGTGGTTAAGATCTAATTCCATGCAGAAAAGTGAATTAACTATTCTCAGACTGTGCCATTTTGCTCAAATTTGTTCACTGCTCCTGTGTTTCCCTCCAGCCAATTAATTCTTCCTCTTATCATTCAGTCACAACTCCAAACTGGATAGGGCAGAAGCCCCTTATTTTACCCAATCCAGCCCTATTTCTAAGGATCTATCTATCTATCTATGAAAATTTGTTTGACTTTTGTATGCTAGTTAAAAAGGGGGAAAAAAACCTCTCTCTAAGGCTGGCAAAAAAGTATTAGGAATCCAGCATATGTTCAGGTGTGTCAGAGACCTGGTTCTCTGCTGAAATGATGTGGTTCCATCTGTCAGTCCTAAATGACTACTCTGTCTTAAAGGGATGTAGGGGCGGGCAGATTGGAACACAGCATGCAGAGGGGGACCAGTCATCCAACACTTCTGAATGTGTTGGATGCTGAAGATTCTTAAGCCACCATTGCTCTGCAACAGTGTAAAGATTGTAGGTATACAGTTGGCCAGTGATAGAGCTGCATTTAAAGTGGGCCTATACCCAAGTTAGACATACAGCTTAAGAAGCTTGCTGGGGTAAATAACAAAATAATAATATGCTTAACTTTCCCCAGATTAAATGCTGCACATGTCTGGAGACATGAGTGTTTTCTCATGTGATCTCTGTTAAAGTGATGGCTCAGAATTCAGATTGGGTAATCTCACCCTTCAGGAAAGGTCAGATGACCAAGTGCCCAATCCTTCAGGCTTGGGTAACACTGAAAGGTGGCTCTCCAGAAAAGTATTTCAGCCCTGCTATTATTTTGTCTATCCTAGTAAGGCTTTGTGCTGCTATTTAAGTACAGGTCTACTTTGTATAAAAAAAAATCTTTGTTATATGCCTATACAATTTTTTAAACAATTATTTCATGTTTAGAAAATTTCTTTAGAATGTTTGTATAATTTTCACACCATTGACCACACCATGCTCTGTTATATAAATGTATAGTTCAACACAAATAAAATCAGCAGTTTACAGAACCTACAAAGATCCTAAACTTGTATCTAAACCAAAAACAGGGCTTTTTTTTTTTTTAGACTTTTTTATTTATTTTCACTCTGTGATCCTGACAGTACTTCCTGTCCTAGGGTCACAACACTCACTCACTACACTGTACGTATGAGAAGCAGCTTTGAAACCCAGCTGGTATTTTTCTATGCTTGCAAAAATATTCAAATATTCTTAGCCTGAAAAAGAAGAAAACAAGTACACCCACCACATCTAAAGATACATAATAGGCTGTATATTACATTTTACTTCTTGGATTTAGATATCCTTTAAGTGTAAAATAACTACAACCAAAAGAAAATAGCTAGTCGTCTTGGGCTATACTGAGACTATAACATTTGGTGCTGACATTTTTCAGTGTTACTTTCTTTCCCTGACCTACATGTAATATTTACACTTACTGTTTTTTTTCCAGAGCAGCTCCATCATCATTTTTACCTTGTTTTATAAGAGAAGCGTCCTTTGACCAGATGAATAAGCACATTTCATGCATGATCACTTCCTACATTCTTCTGTTAGAGGGTTGCAGCCTGTTGATTTGAAGGGGAAAGATATCAAATGAAATGTGCACTATAGGTGAAAAGACTAGTTTCATAAACGTCAATGATTCCCCATTTCATAGGTTTCTAAGATCTGATTTTCACTGCACTTCAAAATGATAAATCATGCTGCAACTTTGTTTCCCTATGATGCTAGAAAACATCAGTAAATAAACTATGTCCAGTAAAATAAAGTAAATATCCTACATCCAGCAACAATTGTCTATCCCAAGCCACATGTAATCGTACCATGTATGATTTACATGTGGACATATGCAGTTGCTGTTACCCTGTCATTTATGTGAATGGGTACAGTGGCCACATCTGAATGGGGATACCTTGTGCAGAAATCCATAGGTTCTTGATGCAGAAATCCCTGAGTGCAGCAAAGTTGCCGTGTAAATGGAGCCTTAGACTTTAGGTCTGCTTAATTCCAACTCCAGGCAAAACATTTTAATTATTTCTTTTTTGGGTAGACTTGGAAAGAGTTCTGTCTAGTTTGTAATGCTGTCAGAGACCCTGTTGGGGAGTTATACCTAAATTCTTGTACCTGTGATAGCAGGATAAGAAATGAGGAGGGTGGTTGCCAGGAAGATCCATACAATATTAATATCCTGACATGAATTCCAAGCCTTCCCCAGTTTTCAGAAAAATTGTGGTATGTTGCAATCGTTGTCCCCATGGGATACATCTCTCGCTTTCAGTGCTGAAATAAAGTGAGGGGATATTCCAATAATGGATTCAAAAGATGTCACCAGCACACCATAGGTTAAGTAAAAATAGTCCACTCAATGACAAGATATTGCCATCCAAATGCAAATGCTTTCGGGGCTGCACAGGGTCCCCTTCAGCAGGCTCAGAATGTCAGGGGGACCCTGTGCAGCCCGTTGGATGGCAATACGTTGTCATTAAATGGACTATTTTCACTTAACCTACGGTGTGCTGGTGACATCTTTTGAAATAATTGGATACTTCACAGTGCCATCCATGGTCACTGCAAGCACCCACCTTGACTCACAGGTTAAACATATAACCGGTAAGGAGTGCAGCAAGATACATTTGTACATCTCAATAATGGAGACACTTAAGCCAAAATGTTGGCTTAAGTCAGGCTTTAATGGCTAGTCGATCTCTGATGTTAAACTGTAAGGACTAATTCACACATCATTGATCAACATCGGCTCAACGCAATGACACAGAGAAAATAATAGTTTTCCATGTGCTCTTTTCACACAATACGCATGTGTTGATGGGCACTGCATAACAATAACATGTTATGCACAGGAGGTATGAACAGGCCCTAATGAAAGTCAAGGAGGTATGAACAGGCCCTAACGAAAGTTGGTTGCATCTATGGCAATTTTACTGGTAAGCAGCAATTTTTTACTTTGCCCAGATTTCAAGTAATAATACAGCAACATTTTGGATAACAGAGCCCATAAACGTATAGGGGTTAATTTACTAAAGGCAAATAGACTGTTCACTACTGGGATATTTGCACTTTGCAGGGGTGGTTCTTTTGAAGGAGGTGATATTTCACTTTGCAAAGAATTCACATGCACGAGCAGGGAAAATAAAAAAACAGTATTGTTGTTTGCACATGATTGGCTGTTGGAAGCCAGCCGAGTTTCACCTCATTCACTAAACTAATGGAAAACTTCCCTTGCAAAGTGCAGTATTCCCTTCCAAAGTGAGCAGCCTATTTGCCTTTAGTAAATCAACCCCATAATATACAGCTATATGTGACGCATTTTTTGGTGAATATCTTCATTGCCTGATTTGCCAGTCTGTAATACTGATCACATACGTGGCAATTTATATCTTTACTTGATTCCACAAGTATGTTTCACTTTTGATTGGTCACATTGATAGGTCACTTTGTTTATGCTTGGTTACAGTATACCAGGATGTCTATACGCTGAGAACACTAATTCGTATCTCCATGTTTCCACTTACAGTTTCAACTACTGAACCCACACTGATGCCTACCAGTAGGAAAAACTTTGGAGGCACCCTCTCTAGTGGCTTGTCTGGCAGTCTGACCAGTCTGGGCAGTGATCGAGGAGGTACAGTGAGCGCCTCTGAAAGTTATCCTGGAGAACTTATGGAAGGTTATGATAGTGACATGAGCAGGCGGGGGCCAGGTGAGAATTATTACATTTATTCCATGAACCACAGAATAAAATATTATAGATTTTATGAAAAAGACAATTAAATATACATTTGAAAGATAAATCATTAATTTATTACTTACTGAGAGGGACAGTATATTGTCTTTTGGTCAATTTTATTCATAGTTTTTTTTCTTGCAAGTTTACCAACTGATCTTATATGTAATTTTTATTGTCCATATTCAATTTTTATTTTATGCATAAAAGTTCAATACTGGATACCTTGTGACATTCAGATACAAAAACCTACTAAGCTTTTTTTAATAAAAAGAAAGAAGCAAAGCACTGCCTGATTCCTTGTTGGTATCCCCAAATTGGCTCCTCTTGAAGAGTGGGAGGGGTAAATCCCCCTCCTGGGTCCTTTAGCTGTCTTTGTAATCTGATTTGTCTCACTGTCCAAATTTATTTTACAACACATCATGAAAAAGAATTCGTAGAAAACGGATGTTGTACTTAGAACTCCCTATCTGCAGGATTACGTTTTTAAAGCGTAAATTCTGAAAATAATACATATATGTTGAATATGCTATATATTCTCTTTAGGTAACTGAGGGCAGATGCATATAAAATGTAATTTATAATTATCTGTGGCTTACTATGCTGTCACAGTCTAGAACTGTTATAGTGTGTCAGATCATGGATAATACTGAAAAAAGTGCATATTCATTAACATAACAGTTTCAAGCTTCATAGCTTAAGTCAATCATCACCTTTGCCTTGTGCTGCAACCCTCAGTCATATAAATTATTTCTCCTAAACAAGCCCTACTACCTTTTTGTATGGCATTTTCATACATACTTGCCATAAGGCTGTCATTACTGTTACTGTGAGGGACTTAGGCTTTATCTTTTTCTGTTGCATTGATAGAGAAATTTGGATTGCATATGGTACACACTAGCAACACACTCTAAAGCTAGTCAACACAAAATTAAACATTAAACTGTTTTAAATCTCAGGTTAAAAACAGAGATTTTTGTTGAATTTACTGTATTTGCAATGCATGTAAAGCCACACTGCTGTGTCAAGGAACCTCTGTAAAGTGTGGTCCTTAATACTAAATTGTTCTCAGGTATGGGACGTATAGTATATAGCAATGCACACATTGAGAGGAGGCTTAACGTTAAAGGAGCAGCAACACATCAGAAGCCCAAACATTGCTAAAGGCAGCTGAAGGAGGAGAGGACTGCCTTCAGGTAAGTCTGCACTCACTTTGTGCATTGCTATCTATGTCCTATAGCTAGGAAAGTTTTACATTAGGAACTGCACCTTACAGAGGCGCCTTGATGTGGCACTGTGGCTTCAACATGTATTTGCAAATGTATGCAACAAAAACCTCTTTTTATTTTTTGTTCCTGAAACAGTTTAGTTAGTTTTTCTGTGGTGGCTAGCATAAAGATCCATGATAGTGACATATGATAAAGTGGATTTGGTACGGTGGAGTCAATAATAAATTTTGAGCATCAGCACCGGGTAAGTTTTCTGCATGAACATCTGGATGAAGTTCATGATGCTGCATTTTTATGATAGGCTAAAAAGGTGGGTATAATTTTACACACAGGATCCTCTTCCAGTCTCTACCAAAAATAGGAAAATGTTTTGCACTGGGACCTTCTTCCAGGTATCGCTGAGAGAATATTGTTTACACTTTCACGATAAAACACTTTGTAATCTTACTGATAAGGCCTCATGTATTTACTACTGTAACAGATCATGTTCAACATAGTCCTGGTTGATGAATTATTCACAGTTGTGGCAAATGTTAGCAGTCTAAACGTCAGCATGACATATTTATGTATTTCATCAGAAGAGAAGACGGCAAAATACTTGAAAAGAAGAAATGCAGCTCGCCACATAATGGGTACTGATTTACATATACCCTGCTCCTCTATATTAACTCACCACAGCTAGAAGAACTTTGTCTTTGCTAACATCAATCCTGCTGCATACAGTTGTGTGAAAAAGTGTTGGCCCCCTTCCTGATTTTTCATTGTTTTGCACGTTTGTCACACTTTAATGTTTCAGATCATCAAACTGATTTAAATATTAGTCAAAGATAACACAAGTAAACACAACATGTTGAAATCTGAAACAATGAAAAATCAGGAAGGGGGCCAACACTTTTTACACAACTCTATGTCAGAGTTGAAATATCTACTTTTGTAACATTATTAATCTCCAGCTAATACATTTACATGCAGCTATTACTGTGTTTAGAACTCCATTTTTGCCAGATTGTCTAACCAAAATCATTGCATGAAGGTGAAGGCCATTCTTTCTATAACACTGTTACTCTTATAGAATTAAATGTGCAGCATTTATTCAATATGTTTCATGTATTTTTTATTTTACCTGAAATTTACAACCACTGTTATATCAAGCAGTTGTTATATAGAGTTTTCATAGCAATTTACATCCATTTAGGATTATTAAAAGAGGAATGTTTCAGTGGCTCTCCAGTCCTTTGTTGTTATCATCATTATCAATCTAACAAATGGTGTGTGCTTTTCAAGAGTTAGAAACTGGGCATGTCAGTGCTGCTTTGAACTTGAGCCCTTCTTGGAGTACAGTATGCAAAGGTGTTCCCAGGCCAAGTAGGAGATAATCAGATCTCCCTACTCTTACTGCTTCCGATCAACTACATTCTGTTCCTTAACATTCATTCCAAAGTTTTAGGGTTCCTGGAACGGTTAGCGGTTTTAAGAATGATGTGGCACCTTATCTGAGTGATGGTTGATGGGGGTGCAAGCAAGGTGACATTTTCCTTTTCTCAATAGTAGTACTTTCCAATCAAACACTTAAATATAGAACCCTACATCACTATTGTCTATTTCCACTGTATCACTGTTGTTGACCAGGTAGTAAAGATATAGCAAAAAATGGTGTAAATACAAGATTTTGGTTAAAAATGCAAAGAGTATCACTCTTACAATCAGTGGTGATTTGAATAGCATGATGATGTAAAATGATAGATTGAATCAAGAAGAGTTAGCCCTCGTTCACACCTGAACGTTTTGTTGCGCGTTCTACGCTCGATGAACGCTCTACAAAACGCTCAAAAAAATAAATCCCATTGTATTCAATGGTCTCGTTCCCACCTTGGCGTATTTCCGCCCGTCCCTAACGCGCTACAAAACGGCCCACGCCTGAAAAGGTACAGGTACTACTTTGGGCCGTTTTGTTGCGCGTTTCCATTGGGATACAGCCAAGTAGCCTTCGGAAACGCGCGACGGTCGCGCAACTTCTTTACCGTGAATCGCGGTAAAAAACCGCGCGACGGTCGCGCATATGCAATACGCCTAGGTGTGAACGAGACCTTAGATCTCCTGTGGGTTTCTTTTGCTACTTTTGTCCCTGCTAATTAGATTCACCCTGTTTTTCCATTATGATTGGGACAGAAGTGAAGTACAACATTTTACATTTGTCACTGGACAGGAGGTGAGGGGGAATATTACAATGGAAACACCTGTTCTGGTGACAACTGGAGACATTTTCTGTCCAGGATCTAAAACAGGAAGTGGGATATCCATTAGTTACTTTAAGCCTTTCCAGTGGTGATTGGGCCATAATAAATACCATCATTAATTCACTACTAATAGCAAAGTACTGAGCCTTATTTATTCTACAGATATGTAAATATTTCTGGAAGTAAGAATAGAGTAGACAGACTTAACAGGTATGAAAAATTAGTTAACTGAATAATCCATTTCAAATTTCTTTTTTACAAATTTCATCAAGTCGCATATTTAAGTCTGCATCTATGCAAGGAAATAGTTGTCTATGTTGTCAGTGTGTCTTTCACATTTTAAGTGACCTAAAAGTAATTCAAGGTTCTTTGGAGTTTTTTAAAAAATTGAATAGCAAGTTAAATCATTGTGCAGCAGTAAAAAACATGTGGCTGCAAAGTAAATTGGCCGCACTAAATGAGTTTAGTGCCATGTTCGCTGACGACCCCTCCATTATGCTCCTGTGAAAGCATGGGGTTTGTTTTTTGCTAATATCATTTTTTCTCAGGCCCTCTGTTAGATTTATCATACAAATTGATGGCTTTAGATCTACTGTTGTGAGCAGCTGTGCACATTTTCTCTGTTTGTCATCCAGTGATTATCTGAAGTTTGCAGCCTGATTAATGGATCTGATCATGAAAATATGAAGCTGGCTGAGTTTATTTTCATGCTGGCAAAATTAATGCACCAGGCAGAAAGAACGTTACGCTTTATGCAAAGATAAGATTTTTTTATTTTAAACTTTATTCTTCCCACGCACAATTTTAATATACCATATATGCACATAGCAAGCTTATTTCTGGCAGTGTAAGGTGGAACGGACAAATAGTGTTACGGGACCAGTCTACCAAACACAGATTTTTGATGAGTATGATTAGACATCCCTGCTGTTGATTCTATCTCTGCTTTAAATTTCAATCCTTCTGCTGCAGTGCTCTTTATAATGTAAAAATGAAAACTCCAACAGGGAGACTGCAACCCCCTTGAAATAGCTGCAGCAAGTGGACAGACCTGGGCAATAAGCGCAAGATTTCACTGCTGGATTCCCCAAGTGATAAAAGTGAGCAATGTTTTTTTTTAACTCCCCAGTAGCTACCAAAAACTGAAATCCCTTTTGGGTGGAAGGATCATTTAAAGCTACACTCCAAACTCATATAAAAGACACCAATGAATGTGATTTTGTACTCGTGAATACATCACTAAATGTAAGCAGTGTACAGTAAGTACCTGAATATGACTTGGTATCAGCCTCTTGTAGTTCCTGTACAGCAGTGTCGGGTCCGTAGGCCATGTCGGATCCCGGCCCATAGGGCAGGTCAGGTTCCGATCCGGGCTCCAGTACGGGCGCACACCCGTAGGGGACGTCCGCCGGCGCTTCCAGGCCGCGCAGCCGCCAGACGACCCGGCGAGGTCACGCGGCGTGACGTCACCAGGCGGATACGTTCCGGTGACGTCATCACGCCGGCACATGCGCAATAGGCCCCTCCAGAGCTATATAAGGCGCATCTGATCCCTCATTCAGTGCTGAGTTATCTTCAGCCTGTGTGGATGTCTGTACCTTGCTCTTGCCTCGTGGAAACCTTGTGATCTGGCTTGCTTCTGACGACTCTTTGGATTACCCCTTTGTACTGCCTGTGCCCGCCTGTTAAACGACCCGGCTTGCCTTTTGACGACTCTTCTGGATAATCCTCTGTACAGCCTTGCCCGCCTGTTGCCAACCCGGCTTGTTTCTGACGATCCCTTGGAATCTCCTTTGTACTGCCTGTGGCCGCCTGTGCAGGATCCAGTCTGCCTCCTAACTTCCCAGTTGGGTAACTTAACGTCCAACTGCTCCATCAGGTCATCACTCTTCAGAGTAACCCGGAGTCAGGAACCGGCACCCGTGCACCCCCTGCCTGCGCACACTGTTTATCAACCCCAGTGGTCACAGACTGGGTTGCAAGGGAGGTCCTCCTCGTCAACTCGGGCCCACACCACAACCCTTACAAGCAGAGCGCAGAGAGTGAAGGATAAACAGTACAAAGAGCCAAGCAGTGCAAGGAGCATGCTGATAGCGGGGATAGGGAGATGAGCTTAGTATTACACTGCTTCTCCTTTCACTATTCAATCGCAGGATGGAGGTTGGTAGGAGACCTGAATGTGAAAGTGAAATTGCAGCAGAAAAATATCAGATCCTATACCCTGTCAGGCAGGGCTGTGCATCTGTTGTCCATGGGGTGGCATTGGTGTGTAGCGGTGCCTTGCATTGTAACTGCGCAAAGAACTGTTTACTTTTTTAAAACTTTATTGGCAGTGTACAAAGTGTATACTCCATTCTGGTCTCTGCACAGCAGCATGGTGTTCTGCACTGTGGTCCATCCAGTGTGCTGTGGAAAAAAGCAGCATGTCTGTATTTTTCTGCACCACACCGCACAGCACATCAGTGTTGTGGTGTGAACGGAGCAAATAGAAAACAATTGTTTTATGTGTGCCCTTGCAATGACTGGCATTGATACAGCGCAGAATAATGCCAGTCACAGCAAAAAAACCTTAGGGCTGAATGGACCGAATTGCAAATCCTGTCAGTAGGTAAAAACAACGCTCAGATATACATTTCAGCAGACTCTCTATAAGGTTACCCAGAGTTCTTACAGCAGACCTGAAACAGGGATGTTAATAATGTTCCAAGGTACACACATGATTACTAGAGGAGGTATTTGCAAATTCATATATGAAATTAAATTTTGAACACGTGCAGCAGCAAGCATGTAAGAATGTATACTATAATCAGGGGCATATTTGCCGCGAGGCAAACAAGGCGTTTGCCTTGGGCGGCACTCCCCAGAGGGGCGGCGAAAATGCCGCAGCCCGGCAGCCTTATGAAGCAACAGGAGACCATCGGAATCGGAGACCAGGAGGAGTCGGCCAGAAGGATGCAGCGAGCGGATGGTGAGCCGGAGGCAGCAGGGGACGGTGAGCAGGTGGCAGCAAGGGACGTGAGCTGGAGGCAGCGGGGGACGGTGAGCAGGAGGCGGGTCCGGGACGGGTCCCCGCAGCTTTGATCGGGCTACGTGGGAGGAGGAGGAGGAGGCGGCAAAAAGGTGGTTTTGAAGCATAAATGCTATTGCCATTTCTCCAGCTGTGTTCTTACATTACATTCATTTTATAATAATGAAGCACATTTGCCTTTTACCAGTCTGTTTTCTGATGTTTGAACTTGTTAGAGTTACTGAAGGAAAGGAAATTTAGCTAATTTTTCTAAAATATAGAAGCCTAATGGCTAAATAGGGCCATCAAGAGCTTTAATGCAAATGAGGAGTCATGATGTGATTTTACAGCAGGAAAAATCTCTTCATAACCCCGTCTGCTATTAATAATTTTGAACATTAAGTCTACTAGCGAAACATAAATGAAAACTATAGGCAACCATTAAATAGAAAGTTCTAATATATGTGTTTACGGTTTTACCCTACCATTTGTAAGTTTGGCCAGCCATTTCTGTGATTCATCCAACTCTATGACTCTGCTAGTCATGGTGATCATTCTTCTACCTCCTGATTTACCAATATTGTTGCCTTTGTCAGCTCCCTGATCTGTGGCAGAGGTCATGATAACTCAGTGATCAGGGTGGAGGAAGACAGGTGATGCAAAAAGACACCAAACTGAACCAGAAATTAGTGCAATTCCAGCCAATTTTGTTTTTTATTTTGAATAGAGTGGGGAATTTCTGTCACATTTGTATTGGTATGAACCAATTGATGAGGTTACCCTCACTTGACCTTACTGTGACAGCAGGGCAAGAAATGAGGGCAACAAGTGTCTCTGGGTCAAGAACATGTCAAAAGCATGCAGTTTCTAACCCTTCCCTTCCAGAGACTGATTGATCAAAATTGCAAATTCTTTGGCAGGTAAATGTATGTATTTCAATTGCGTATTTAGCTGATAGCCCAGAGTTTCACTTTGTTTCCTAATATACCAGAGTTCATAACCAAGCTCTGTTAGTTCTTGAAATGATCAAACTTTGTTTGCATTGCCATAAAATATATCTATAAATCTTGTTTGAATAATTGTATGTCTTTTATGCTTTATCCCATAAAGGAAAACACAGTGGAAATGCAAATTTACGACGCTGAATAAGTGAATAAAGATTTGAACTCCTGTAGACCTTTCATTTGTACACTAACTGCATCACTGAAGACTTTGCAACATTAAGTGCCATGAATAAATCTCTTGTATGTCGTGCGTGTTCTGCAACAGCCAGGAGGAATGTTCATCAGTGCTCATTAATGAGCACATGTTCCCATAAAAATTATAGCCTATTATTTTATGTGTTTTAGAATACATTATATTTATCCCTATCTTTTCTTGGAGTTGTAGAAGGAATTTTTGTATTTTGTCAAACCCGTAGCTCTGTGTTTTCTGACAATATCATGAATTGTGTAGCAATGGTGTTAAACTTCTTGAATATAAAACTTTCTTTACCGCTAGAGAGGCTCTGTCCTCCAATTTAGAGCCTTTGGATGTATGAAGTCTTAACTCCTTTTCCTTGAAAGTTAATAATCTCGGAGAAGTAAAGCACTGGATATCCGGGTTCACAAGTAAAAAGAGTTTAAAACTGAACTCCAGGTAAAAATCATAATCTCAGAATATCAATTGTATGCATATTTCATATGCATAGTTTTAAAATGCCTTCCCTTGCACCCTTAAGTCATACAAGTCTATGGACTGCTCTGCAGTACTTGGGAGATTCACTGCCCTAAAAATGCTGCAATATTACCTAAATGTCTAATGCCCTCTATATTCTATGGGCTGCCTAAAGCTGGCCATACACCTTTTAGATTTTCTGCAGATTTTCTATGGCCAGGTGGAAGAAGTGCAACAGATTCTTCCATTTACACTAAACTATGTGGATGGAGAAATCTCCCACTGGGCCAAGCTTCAGTATCTTGCTAGTCAGGCCCCACTGGCTCTCATAATACCTGAACAATGCCTGCATCCAATCAGATTGTTCAGGTATTTTTATAGCCAGTGGGGCCGACTAGCAAGATACTGAAGCTTGGTCCAGTGGGAGATTCCTCCATCCACACCGTTTAGCGTAGATGGAGGAATCTGTTGCACTTTTTCTTCTGACCATAGAAAATCTGCAGAAAATCTATAGGTGTATGGACAGCTGTAGTCACTTTTCCAATCTTAGCCTACTTATTGACCAATCAAGAAATAACAGCCAGTTAAGTGACACTAAACTCAGGAGTTAAATCTTAAAAATGCATTCAAGTACCTTAACTATTAACAAAAATGTATCTTATTTGTGTATCACTCGGCTGTAGATCCTCAAATCATCTCTGAATTAGGGCTGACACTGTCCTTCCTTCTGGAGGGTGGCTACTTTTGTTCCCCATGGTCCCTGTGTGTGTTGTAAAGTAGCCACCACTCCAAGCTCACTCCAGTGATGGACTACAATCTCCTCTTTAGTTCACTAATTTGTATTGAGATTGTAGTCCATCACAGGAGTGAGCTTGGAGTGGTGACTACTTTACAACACACACAGGGAACCATGGGGAACAAAAGTAGCCACCCTCCAGAAGAAAGGACAGGGTCAGCACAATTTCACAGATGATTTTAGGATCTACAGAGGAGTGATACACAAATAAGATAATGTGTTAATAGTTAAGGTACTTAAATGCATTTTTAGGTTTAACTCCTGAGTTTAGTGTCACTTTAATGTGGTCATCCCTGTTATATTGTCGCCTGTAAATATTTTCAAAACACAGCACTTTGAAAAGCAGTAGAGCCCTGACTGTCTTAAAGTGCTGACCCTCTTCCTTCCAGCTTAGACGATTACAGGAAACAAATACAAATACATAGTAATGTAGTTATACTAGCTCTTTTAAAAATAAATGTTATGCTTTTTAATGAATAAATAATTATTTTTAAATATTTGCTTGGAGTTACACTTTACATTTTCCCGTGGAGCCTTCTTGAAACACCTGATCTCAAGGGGCAGGATCACATACCATTACTGTATGCATTACTTACATGTGAATCACATGAAGCTAGATGTGTTTTTGGATTAAGACTTTTGATTATGTTTGAGCATGTTTTTATAATTGATGCTGCGCTTTTGGACAATATGCACTATAAAAGATGCATAATTTTTACGTTTTCTAGTGCACTGAAGTCTCCCAAACCTACGCAGCTATCTCTAAAATAGAAAACATCAGGTCCTCTGTTAGAAAAAAAAATGATTACCTGTTCAGTCGCACAATCAATTACGCTTTTCCATTTGCTGGAGCGAATTGCCACCAGCTAGATGTATATTATACAAAGCTTGTTGGTGGCAGATTAAACTATAAGATTATTCTGTTGATTCCACAGGCCATTGTGTGCTAAGCATTCCAGTACATATATAATGCTTGAACTGTTTTGTAATAGAGTGTATTTAGTCCAGAAGAACCTTATTGGTCATTATTGTCATCCAGAGTAGTTTTACATATTTTATTATCAAAGTAATATTTATTGTCTATATACTAAAGATCTTTTTTTTCTTTTATTTTCTTTTATGATGCTATAGAAATTGTGCCATAATGCAAAAATATGCTAATATGTTAAAACTGTGAATTTGTTTTTCAAAAATTATAATTTGATGTGTGCTTTAAGATAGATGTTAATAAAATAAACATTAATTTTAAAAAAACTGTTTGTTTATGACATTTTAAAACACTGAACTTTTTTGTTTATTAGTAGAATTAGTGAATGTGTAAAATTATCATGGAGTCACGGACATACAGAGGGTGCTGACCAGTCTGATAAACCTGGACAAGCAGGTAAGCAAAGTGCAGTATATAAGTAATTTCTCTTCAACTGACTTCAATAAACTAAAATGTGATTGGTTGCTTTACGCCTTGAATAAAGATCTCACCAGCACACTAACACGAGAATTCCATGTCAGTGCAAATCCATTTTATTGATCGATGTCACTCAAACGACCAGCGCTTTTGGGGCCCACGCAGGGTCTTTATCAGGCTCAGAGAGCGCTTGTCATTTGAGTGACATCTATCAATAAAATGGATTTGCACTGACATGGAATTGGTGTGCTGGTAACATCTTATTCAAGTTTTACGCTGAGCGGCGCCATCCGCAGTCATTACAAGCACCCGTTTTCTTTTGGGATATCCGGTAAGGAGTGCTGCAAGACACATGGACACTGTTCTGGTTGCTGTAAGAGTCTTTCATATATTGGCTGTTAATTATAATCGACTCTCCTGAATTGAGTATCTCTTGCAATTATTAGGCTGCAAGTCTGTAAGTGTCAGAGGTGAGAATAACTTTTTTCTAGCACCTAGATAAAAAGCAGCAGTTAACCCTTGCAGTGCGGGGGTAGCCCCCCTGCAATGGTTAATACATTTTCCCCAGAATTTTTATTTAACAAAATATAATGAATCAATTAACTGTTTCATTGTATTTACTATTACATTCATGTGCAGATATAGGTGAGAGTTCTGATCTCCATATGACATCGCATAAAAAAAGTATTCTTATTTACCTACTTATTAACCCTTAGCTAATGCCAATAAGCACTAACTAACTCCTTTATCCCCTTATCGTATATTTTTCTGCCGATTTTTTATTTTTTACGTTGCATACCAAGAAACTGCACACATTTTTTTTTTAAATCCCTTTTTATTTGCAAATAACTTTGCAAAATTGTACCAATCAAAACAGATTTAAAAAAACACTTTTTGCCCTTTTTACATCTTTTTGTTTAAAGATTCCATAGAGAATAAAATCATTTTTGCAAAACCATATTGCAAAAAGAGAGGCTAGTTTCCATCCACCCCCACAAAAAAATGTATGAATTACCTTGTTGTCTTAAGTAATAACAGGGTTATCGTCAAAGGCCCAAAGTGGTAAAAAAAAAATGCTCGGGTCTATAATGGGTATACAGGTACGAGAGCTCAATTTGTTTAATTTTACGTAAGGGCAAAACTTTTATTTTTTTGGATAGAGTAGGGGAGGGTTAAAACCACTGCCATTTTTTTTTACCTCATTAGGGAGATTTACATTCACTTCCTCTCCTATAGACTCAACAGGTAGTGAGAGGATATCTTTCCAATGTGAGGAATATTCCCTCTTAGACAGTTGTCACAGAAAGAAGTGTCCTTATTGGATTTCGCCTCTGTTCCTGTTCTGGTAGCAACTCATAATTTTGGATTTACTCTTGCTTTTATTCCCAGTAGCATTGGTGATCAGGACAATTAAAGACAGTATTGAATCTTCCCAAGGGGACAAGGACAGCAATGATTATGCTGTGACAGTGGTTCTAACCCCTCACCATTCTATCCAAATCTTAAACAAAAATGTTGCCTTTAGTTATACCTTGTGTTTGTGAAGTTAAAGAAGACCTTAATCCCTTTCAATAATATTACTACAATCTCGTTACAAATTAGTAAACTAAACATGAAATTGTAGTCCATCACGGGAGCTTGGAGCGTTGGCTACCTTACAGCACACACAGGGACCATGGGGAACAAAAGTAGCCACCCTCCAGAAGGAAGGACAGTGTCAGCACCAATTCAGAGATGATATGAGGATCTACAGCCGATTGATGCACAAATAAGTTAATTTTTTGTTAATAGGGTATTGAATGCATTTTTAAGATTTAACTCTTGAGTTTAGTGTTACTTTAAGAACAAAATACTGTAAAATAGAGCTTAGATACGGCAAAGTTGTTATATGTAAAAAAATACCTGCATTTTTCTGTGAGCAATCATTTCTCATTCACTGTTATATATGAAGAGAACATCTCAATGTACTATCATTCATAAAACCAATCACTTCCTACACCATTATTTTCATCACTGTGCACGCCTGCTACACATAAACGTTCAGTATGTGTTTGCAGCTGCTTTAATTATCTGCCACTCTAAAGATGTCAAGATAGATACAATATATACTCATGAAGCTGTTGCTGATTACTATTTGAAATAATTTAAAAAGTCATTTTTCATTTTTATCACGGCTCATCCATTATTCAGCAGATCTAAAACATAGATCTACACATACATTAGGACAGTAAAATGCAGAAGACTCTTTTCCCAGAGGAGACATTTCTTATGGGTAATTCACATCCATTCTAGTTGGAGAGATTTTGATGCTTATTTTTATAGAGTAACTACATTCAGTATCAGGGGCATCATTGTTTCATGGCACTACCCTTTCAATCATGGCACTAAAGAATGAATATAAACTACATAGCTGATATTTTACT